GAACCCAGGGCCTCATGCATGCAAGGCAAGCGCTCTACCACTGAGCCAACTTCCCAGCCCCTTTTTGGTGATTTTATGATGATGGTTTATTAGTTTTCAATGAAAACCTAAATGCTGTTCGTTAAAGAGTATAGTATTTTATAAAGAAGCAAGGCCTTGCTGCTGGTTTTGATTCTTAAAATATAAGCTTCTTAGGGCTGGGAAGGTGGCTCAGTGGTAGAGTGCTTGCCTTGCATGCATGAAGCCCTGAGTTCGATTCCTTAGCACCACATAAGCAGAAAAACCCGGAAGTGGCACTGTGGCTCAAACCGAGTGCTAGCCTTGAGCTGAAGAACTCAAGGACAGCGCCCAGGCCCAAAGTTCATGCCCCATGAACCTGGGGGGGGGGGAAAGCAACAAATTTATCTTATTTTTATCTGTAGACATAGTGTGATTTACACTTTTACTTGACTGTTTAGTGCTTATAGTTGGCTCTTAGATTCACAGGTATTGAAATTTCACTTCACATAGCATCAGGACCTTACTTTATTGGAAAGATGTGTGGGAGTAGGCCTGGACTTTGGAATGTACTGAATTTCCCCCATCTCCCCCTGCCAGACTGTTGCATCTAGAGGCAGCTGGCCTTCTGGTTTACTTAAATGGTGAACAACAGGCACAGGTGAAGCTCTTACTGTGAGGAAACACTCTGCGCAGATGTCCTCTTTTAGGATACAGATTATGCTCTAAATTAGAAGCTTCCTCATAGTTGTATGTCTCTTGTAAAAGAGCATATGGCTGGGCTGGGAAGGTGGCTCAGTGGTTGACCACTTGCCTTGCATGTATGAGGCCCTGGGTTCAATTCCTCAGTACCACATAAGCAGAAAAAAAAAAGCCGGAAGTGGCGCTGTGGCTAAGTGGTAGAGTGCTAGCCTTGAGCTGAGGAGCTGAGGGCTAGCGCCCAGGACCAGAGTTCAGGCACCACGACTGGACCCAAAAAAAAAGCATATGGCTTTGGGAATGAGAAGGAACCTTTGTGGTCTGCAATATCAGAAATTTTAGTTCTGCCAGGTGTTGGTGGCTTACGCCTCATAATCCTAGGTACTCAAAAAATTGCGATCTGAGGATCCTGGGCCAAAATCAGCCCATATAGGAAAGTCCTAAAGACTCTTATCTCTAATTAAGCATCCCAAGCCTGAAGTGGAACTATGGCTCAAAGTGGTAGAGCGTGTTAGCCTGAGCAAAAAGCTCTGGGACAGTGCCTAGGCCCTGAGTTCAAGCCACAGGATGGGGGTGGGTAGGGCGAGTGGGGGAAAGAAAAAAAGAAATCCTAGTCCCCAAAGTGTTTTTTTTGGGGGGACAGGTCCAGATATACTTAATATATAGTCTGCAGTTGTCAACTGGATACTTTAGACTATTTGGAATTAAGACAGACTGGGTATTACTGTGACTATTCTTCATCCATTCTTCTCCTCTCTGCTACTATTTATAATGAATTCTCTCACTGGTCTTTGAAATATTGACTTTGGAATTACAGTGTAAATCAAATCTACAAATTAAGAGTCCAACATTTTTTATATGTCTTTGTCCTGAAGTAACTGACATTTTCATTGCCAGTGTATATAATATTATATGACACCAAGTTTGTGTTTATAGTTAAGCCCAAATCTTTTAAATTTACTCATATTTTTAAATTTTTATTTTTGTGCCAATTTTGGGGCTTGAACTCAGGGCATGGGTGCTGTCCTGGATCTTTCGTGCTCATGGCTAGCATACCACACTGAAGCCACAGCTCTACTTCCAGTCTCTGGTGGTTAATTGGAAATGAGTCCTATAGACATTACTCCTCAGGTTGATTCTGAACTTCAATCTTCAAATTTCAGCCTTGTAAGTAGCTAGAATTATAGGTATGAGCCACTGGCACCTGGCTAAGATTTATGTTTGATGTTATGGGGTCAATGTAATGAAGAAAGACAAGGTTGATGAGAGTTTGTATATGTATTGTAAACACTACTATATAAGTTAAAGTGCAAGGGAGATGAAACACAAACACTGAAATACCCAGTAATTTAAAACTGTTAACTGCTCTTGGAAAATGTACCATGAGGAAATAGGACTGGACTCTAAGCACCTTTGAGGGTGGAGTGATTGTGCCTCTCCAAAAGTATCAGAGATCCTTTTCCTATAGACCTTGAGAGAATTATTTTGCTTTCTTATTTTCTTATTGTCTAGGATATTGAGAGGCTAATACATAAGAGTGATATTTATAGATCAAGTGGTATATAACTTGGATAACCCAAATTAAGTGCTTATAAATCCCTTTTACTGGTTTTATGTTTATTGTAAAATTTAGTGTAATTTCTTTTTTTTTTTTTTTTTTTGGGTCTGGTCGTGGGGCCTGAACTCTGGGCTTGGGCGCTGTCCCTCAGCTCTTCAGCTCAAGGCTAGCACTCTACCACTTGAGCCACAGCGCCACTTCCGGCTTTTTTCTTTTTGCTTATGTGGTGCTGAGGAATCGAACCCAGGGCCTCAGGCATGCAAGGCAAGCACTCTACCACTGAGCCAACTTCCCAAAGCTAGGGTAATTTCTACGAGATAAAAAATTACAGTTCTACCTACTTTATCTGCTTTGTTTTCATCTTTTGACAGTGATAATACTTAGGTAAATCATGTTCAGTTGCTTAAATTGTGTATGTCATAGCCTTTATTTGTTTTCAGGTGGGTTTTTAAAAGTAAACACTATTTTTGGAAAAAAAAATTAAATTACTTCCATTTTAAAAAGTGGATTATTTCACATAGAACACTGGCTTGTGCTGATCTTTCATTTTGTTAGGATGAGAAATCGCCAACTCCTTTAAAAGGAGCAGGGGATTTGTTGTTTTCCACATTTCCCAATACTCTTTGACATTTAACTGCTAATACTATCAGGCACTTAGTAGGTACTAAGTAGTCACTAAAATCAATAACTGTAACTTTTTGGTACTAATTAAATAAGATTGCAGATAATGTAGATCTCTCAACTGAAAGTAATGTTTTCATCTGTGAAAGTGCATGGTATATTAGAATGATTGTTACTCTTTTTTCTTTTTTTCCTTTTAACTTTTTTTTTTCCTATAGGATAATAAGCATTTTAGAAATGGCAGTTATTCAGTGAGGTAAATTTTCATTACATCAGTATATAAGAACAAGTCTGGGGCTGGTAAGGTGGTTCAGTGGTAGAGTGCTTGCCTTGCATGCATGAGGGCCTGGGTTCGATTCCTCAGTACCATATAAGCAGAAAAAGCCAGATGTGGTGCCATCGCTCAAGTGGTAGAGTGCTAGCCTTGAGCTGAAGAGCTGAGGGACAGCGCCCAGGCCCAGGCCCAGAGTTCCCAGGCCCCACAACTGACCAAAAAAAAAAAAAAGAACAAGTTTGTAGTTGCAATTATAGTTTTTTTTTTGTTGTTGTTATTGTTTTTGGTCTATGAATGTTAACCAAAGTTCTTTGCTGCATTTTAAAAGTAATGAGGTCATAGAGTTGTAATAATAACACTTTTAATCAGCAATGTCATTTTTGCTTATCTATTAAAAATACATTATATAATGACTTTAAAATATTTATTTAGTTACATCATTTCAGAAGAAGGAGTTATTTTGATAGTTTACTCCCAATTGAATTGGAATTTGGGCAAAGTAACTCAAATTAGAAAGTAAGTCACTTCAATGTTCTCATTTTACTTGTGCCTAAGTATATCCCTAATTTTCATCAGATGTCTTTATTTTCTATTTTCAGAAATGAATATGATCTTATTCTGAACTCGGATATAAACAACAATTATTATCATCAGTGGTTTTACTTTGAAGTCAGTGGAATACGTCCAGGTGTTGCATATAGATTTAACATCATTAACTGTGAAAAGTCCAACAGTTGAGTTTAATTATGGTAAGACAATTTTCTTTCCTATGTTTGAAGGCATATAGAACATAAGTTGAACAAAAGAATCATTAACAAAAATATGTTTCAATCTCCTGCTTTATATAGTTATCAGAAATCATATGTTTATTGTGCAGAATTTGAAACAGGTTAGAGTTTGTTTTGTTAGTGATGTATTACTCCTGTATCAGCATGCCCTTTACCATTTAACATTATGGTTGATTTTGTCCAAATTGAATAGACCTACAAATTTATTATTATGAATGTGCCCATGGCTCAAATTGTATCTTTTTAACTTTAGACTCTTAATATTATATGTTATATTAACTGATTTTAGAATATTGAACCAGTATGTTGTATCTGTGGTGTAAACTCCAGGGTTATTGTGTATAATTGCTAATATTTTGTTAAGAAGTTTTACATTTGAGGTTGACTGTGTAGCTCAGTGGTAAGAGTAGCATGCACTAAATCCTGCTTCAATTACCATCATAGAAAATAATCACTATGCTCAGAAAGGATATTGATAGCCTTTTAAGATAAAAATGCAATTTCTATATTAATTTTAGGGTTATTCATTCTTTTCATCTTGAGTCATGGTAGAGTTGGCAGGATCTATACTGGTTTGTTGGTTTCACTACTGCTCATGATAATTTGTTTCTTCTCAAATACTTTCTTGGTTTCATTAGTAACTTATCAATTTTATCAATATATATATATTTTTGGGTCCGGTCGTGGGACCTGAACTCTGGGCCTGGGCGCTGTCCCTCAGTTCTTCAGCTCAAGGCTAGCACTTTACCACTTGAGCTACAGCACCACTTCTGTTTTTTTTTTTTCTTTTGGCTTATGTGGTGCTGAGGAATTGAACCCAGGGCCTCATGCATGCAAGGCAAGTGCTCTACCACTGAGCCACCTTCCCATTCATTTTTTTTTATTGTGAAAATACCATACAGAGGGGTTACAATTACATGGGCAAGATAATGAGTACATTTCTTATCAAGCATTGTTGCCTCCTCCTTTGTTTCCCCTTTCCATCTCTTTCCATATCCTCCCCCTTCTCCCACCCCCCCCCAGTCAATTTTATCAATATATATATATTTTTGGGTCCGGTCGTGGGGCCTGAACTCTGGGCCTGGGCGCTGTCCCTCAGCTCTTCAGCTCAAGGCTAGCACTCTACCACTTGAGCCACAGTGCCACTTCCGGCTTTTTTCTTTTTGCTTATGTGGTGCTGAGGAATCGAACCCAGGGCCTCATGCATGAAAGGTAAGCACTCTACCACTGAGCCACCTTCCCAGCCCCTGAGTAGCTAGGATTACAGGTGTGAGCCACTGGTGCCTATCTTGTTTTTACTTTTTTTTTTGTCAGTCGTGGAGCTTGAACTCTGGGCCTGGGCGCTGTCCCTCAGTTCTTCAGCTCAAGGCTAGCACTTTACCACTTGAGCTACAGCACCACTTCTGTTTTTTTTTTTTTCTTTTGGCTTATGTGGTGCTGAGGAATTGAACCCAGGGCCTCATGCATGCAAGGCAAGTGCTCTACCACTGAGCCACCTTCCCATTCATTTTTTTTTATTGTGAAAATACCATACAGAGGGGTTACAATTACATGGGCAAGATAATGAGTACATTTCTTATCAAGCATTGTTGCCTCCTCCTTTGTTTCCCCTTTCCATCTCTTTCCATATCCTCCCCCTTCTCCCACCCCCCCCCAGTCAATTTTATCAATATATATATATTTTTGGGTCCGGTCGTGGGACCTGAACTCTGGGCCTGGGCGCTGTCCCTCAGTTCTTCAGCTCAAGGCTAGCACTTTACCACTTGAGCTACAGCACCACTTCTGTTTTTTTTTTTTCTTTTGGCTTATGTGGTGCTGAGGAATCGAACCCAGGGCCTCATGCATGAAAGGTAAGCACTCTACCACTGAGCCACCTTCCCAGCCCCTGAGTAGCTAGGATTACAGGTGTGAGCCACTGGTGCTGGACTGGTAACAAATTTTTATGTAATAGAAAAGATTTTTTTTGTCATACTACAAAACAAAACACTACTCCTCCATCCCTTCTCCCTAAACAAAGAAATACCTAACATTGGAACTTGAAGAAAAATGATCAGACACATACCAAATATTTTAAAGGTCTTAATCATTTATTGTAAACTTTGAAAAGCTTTTAACACCTGAAGCTTGAGCAGCTATATAATTTTCAAATAATTCCTCTTACGTTGTTAAATGTATGAGTATGATAGTGCCCTTTAAGGGAGCACTTCTGGATATTCAGGCCTTTAAGAGTTCAAGAGCTTATTTTTGGTTGTCCTTAATTTTTGTGGAGTATAGGGAATAGTGTACTCTAAAATTGCTTTACATTTTTGGATGAAAGCTTTATTTATCTACTTATTTATTTTTTAATCATCGTGGGACCTAAATTCGGGGCCTGGGCACTGTCCCTCAGCTCTTCAGCTCAAGGCTAGCACTCTATCATTTGAGCCAAAGCGCCACATCTGGCTTTTTCTGCTTATGTGATGCTAAGGAATGGAACCCAGGGCCTCATGCATGCAAGGCAAGCAGTCTACCACTGAGCCACCTTCCCAACCCCATAGTTATTTATATAATACAATAATTAAGAAAGATTGGATGGCATAGTATCTGGTTTAGTTAGGAACATATTTCAAAGATTTTAAAATGTTTTAAGTTACCTAACTCAAATGATATAATCTTTTAAATATTTATTTTTGTAGCTAAAGCTTCAATAGTTACAATGATTTACATGAACAGTGATAAGAATATTCTTTATTAATTTACATTAGTTATACAGAAAAGTATTTTGTTGTTACAGTAAACACATTTCTACAATATAATCCAGTCACTTTCACAAGCTTTTAACACTCTTCTTTCCCTCCTTCCCTTCCCCTTTCCCAAAAAATTTCAGTAGATTTTACTGTTCTATTTTCATAATTGCAGTCATTTTTTTTTTCTTTTTCTTTTTCTTTTTTTTTGGTTGGGGGGCTTCAATTCTGGGACTGTGTGCTGTCCCCGAGCTCTTCAGTTCAAGGCGAGCGCTCTACCACTTGAGCCACAGTGCCACTTCTGGTTTTCTGGTGGTTAATTGGAGATAAGAGTCTCATGGACTTTCTTGCCCGGGCTGGCTTTGTATCCAGATCCTCAGATCTCAGCCTCCTGAGTAGTTAGGATTACAGGGGTGAGCCACCAGTACCCAGCTACAATCTAAATTTTTTTTTTTTACCATATTTATGTTCCTTCAAAATGTATTTAAAAATTATCCTGTAATTTTTTTTTTACTCCTTCTCTATGTCCTATTAGTTCCTTAGACTCATGCTCTGTGTTTAACCATATATGTAATTATTTAAATGATATATATGAATATGTACATTTCATGAATATGTATATATTGTAGATTTAGCTTTAACATATGAGTGAAAACACATATAAAACATATTATAGCCAGGTGCTATACATCATATATAAGTAAAGAATATGGAGTCATCATTAAAAGAACAAATTAACAGAAAAGTCCTTTGATTTCATGCCTTTGGAGTTTGTTTCAGTATGTGTATTATTTTATATACATAGGAAGAAGAGTTGTTTTGGTATTGCACCTTTGTGATTCTCCTAAAACTATCCTGTAAATGGCTGTTACCTAGAGTTCAAGCTACATGACTGACAAAACAAAAACAAAAAGATATATTATAAATTCGTATACAACATATATATGTTCATATGCAACATACATATAATATATATACATATATATTCATGTACAACAAATATATTAATATACAACATATATACATATACAACATATCATATGCTTATATGCTTATAAATATATGTATGTATGTGTATATATAACTTACATATACACATACATATATAGCTTTTTGTGTTTTTTTTGCCCTTCTTGGGGCTTGAACTCAGGGTCTAGGCACTGTCCCTGAGCTTCTTTTGCTCAAGGCTAGCACTCTACCACTTGCCACAGCACCACTTCCAGCTTTTTCTGATTATGTGGTACTTAGAAATTGAACCCAGGGTTTCATGCATGCTAGGCAAGCACTTATCACTAAGCCACATTCCCAAGCCCAGTTTATTTATATTTATTTAATTATTTATTTATTTTTGGGTCCGGTCATGAGGCCTGAACTCTGGGTCTGGGCGCTGTCCCTCAGTTCTTCAGCTCAAGGCTGGCGCTGTACCACTTGAGCCACAGCACCACTTCCAACTTTCTTCTTTTTGCTTATGTGGTGCTGAGGAATCGAACCCAGGGCCTCATGCATGCAAGGCAAGCGCTCTACCACTGATCCACCTTCCCAGCCCCATATATTTATTTATTTAATTTTATGTTATTGTAAAGATGCTTATTAGGGGTTACAGTTACATAAGTAAGATAATGAGTACATTTCTTGTTGAACATTGTTTTGTTATTGTAAAGGTGATGTACAGAGAGGTTATAGTTTCATAAGTTAGGTAATGAGTACATTTTTGGACAGTGTTACCCCTTACTTCACTACCTTGCAGTTTTCCCCTCCTAATCCCACCCACAAATTGTATAGTTCATTTTCAGCATAGTGTCTAGTGAGTACCAGTGCTGCATTTGGTCACCCTCTTTCCCTCCCTTTCTGTGCTCCCTACTTACCCTCTCCCAAACAGATAAATGAACAAGCAAGACAAAAATAAAATAAAATATATACCTCTTGTTTCTATCTCCTAGAGTTCATTTCAATAAATATTATTTTATATAATCAGAGGCACAGAAGCATTATGCCTTTGTTTTCCTCCCTAAGAATATCCTTATTTGGTATCACTGTGTGTGAATGCTATTGTCCTGAACAATTTATCATGTCCTACCTAGTTTATATTACATCTTGCTTTTACATATGAAAGAAAACATACCCTGTTTTTCTCTCTGAGCTTAGCTTACCTCACTTAACATGATTTGTTTTAGGTCCATTTATCTCCCTGCAAATGCCATAATATTATTCTTTCTACTGGCCATGT